ATATATGCTAATAATTGGACAACCTAGAAGAAATGGATAAATCCCTAGACTACAAATTACAAGAGCTGAAACAGGAAGCAATAGGAAACTTGAATAGACTGATTACCAGCAAAGAAACTAATAATCAAAAATCTCCCAACAAACAAAAGTCCAGGACCAGATGGCTTCACAGGTGAACTCCAGCAAAAATTTAAAGAAGAGTTACTATTCATTCTTCTCAAACTATTCCAAAAATAAAAACTTCCAAATTCATTCAATGAGGCCAGCATTACCCTGATACCAAAACCAGATAAAGACATCACAATGAAAAGGAACTATAGGCCAAGATCCCTGATGAATGTGGATGCAAAAATTCATGATAAAAACCCTCAACAAAGTAGGTTTAGAGGGAGCATACCTCAACATCATAAAGGCTATATATGAAAAACCCACAGCTAATAACATCCTCAGTGGGGAAAACTGACAGCTTTTCCTTTATGGTCAGGAACAAGAAAGGGATGTCCATTTCTACCACTTATATTCAACTTAGTACTGGAAGTCCTAGCCACAGCAATCAGACAACAAAAAGAAATAAAAGGCATCCAAATAGGCAAGGAAGAAGTCAACCTTTCACTATTTGCAGATGTCATGATATTATGTATAGAAAACTTAAAAGACTCCATGAAAAAGACTGCTAGAACTGACAAATGAATTCATAAAGTCTCAGGATACAAAATCGATCTACAGAAATCTGCTACATTTCTATATACCAACAATGAATCATCAGAAAGAGAAATTAAAGAATCAATCCCATTTACAATTGCACCAAAAACAATTAAGATACCTAGATATAAACATAACCAAAGAGACAAAAGATCTATACTCTGAAAAACATAAAACATGGATGAAAAATTGAAAACACAAAGAATGGAAAGACATTCCATGCTCATCATTCAGAAGAACAAATATTGCTTTTTTTTAATGCCTTTTTTTTTTTTTTTTTTTTTTTAAGAGAGAGAATTTGAGCAGAGGAGGGGCAGAAAGAAAGGGAGACATAGAATCCAAAGCAGCTCCAGGCTCTGAGCTGTCAGCACAGAGCCCAACATGGGGCTCGAACTTCAGGGAACTCTGAAGTCAGAAGCTTAACCAGCTGAGCCATCCAGACGCCCCAGAACAAATATTGTTAAAATGTCTATGTTATCCAAAGCAATCTAAACATTTAATGCAATCCCTATCTAAATACCAACAGCATTGTTCACAGAGCTAGAAAAACAATCTTAAAATTTATATGAAACCACAAAAGACCCTGAATACCCAAAGCAGCCTTGAAAAAGAAAAGCAAAGCTGGAGGCATCACAATTCCAGACTTCAAGTTATATTATAAAGCTGCCGTAATAAAAACAGTGTGGTACTGGCACAAAAACAGACATACAGATCAATGGAACAGAATAGAAACCCCAGAAATGAACCCACAATTACATGGTCAATTAATCTTCCACAAAGCAGGATAGAATACCCAAAGGGAATGTCTCTTCAACAAATGGTGTTGGGAAAATTGAACAGCAACATGAAAAAGAATGAAATTGGACCACTTATACCATACACAAAAAGAAATTCAAAATGGACTAAAGACCTGAATTTGAGACCTGAAACCATAAAAATCCTAGAAGACAACACAGGCAGTAACTTCTTTGACATCAGCCATAGCAACTTCTTTCTAGATACGTTTCCTGAGGCAAAGGGAACAAAAGCAAAACTAAACTATTGGGACTACATCAAAATAAAAAACTTCTGCACAGCAAAGGAAACAATCAACAAAACTAAAAGGCAACCTATGGAATGGGAGAGATATTTGCAAATGAAATATCTGATAAAGGGTTAGTATCCAAAATATATAAAGAACTTATAAAGCTCAACACCAAAAAAATGAATAACCCAATTATAAAATGGGCAGAAGACATAAACAAACATTTTCCCAAAGAAGCCATAGAGATGTCCAACAGACATATGAAAAGATGTTCAACATCACTTATCATCAGGGAAATGCAAATCAAAACCACAATGAGATATCACCTCACATCAAAATGTCAAAATGGCTAAAACCAACAACAGAAGACACAATAGGTGTTAGTGAGGAGGTGGTGAAAGGAGAACCCTCTTGCACTCTTGGTGAGAATAGACTGATGCAACCAGTCTGGAAAATAGTATGGAGGTTCCTCAAAAAGTTAAAAATAGAACTACCCTAAGATCCAGCAATTGTACTACTTGGTATTTACCCAAAGAATACAAAAGCACTAATTCAAAGGGATATATGCACCCCTATGTTTATAGCAACCTTATTACAAAAGCCAAGATATGGAAGCAGCCCAAATGTCCATCAACTGATGAATGGATAAAGAAGATGTGGCATATATATACAATGGCATATTACTGAGCCATAGAAAAGAATGAATCTTGCCATTTGCAATGATATGGATGGAGCTAGAGAGTATGCTAAGTAAAATAAATCAGTCAGAAAAAGACAAATATGGTATGATTTCACTCATCTGTGGCATTTAAGAAACAAAATAAATGAGCAATGTAAAAAAAGGGAGGGGGGTGGGGAGAGAGAGGGCAAACCAAGAAACAGACTCTTAACTATAGAGAACTGACAGTTACCAGAGGGTAGGTCAGTGGAGGGATGGGTAAAATAGGTGATGGGGATTAAAGAGGGCACTTGTAACAAGCACCGGATAATGTATGGAAGTGTTAAATCACTACACTGTATACTTAAAACAAATATTACACTGTATGTTAACTAGCTAGAATTTAAATAAAAAATTTAAAAAACAATTTAAAAAAAGAAAAAAAAATTATACCTTGGCAATAGTTAGCTGTGACACTGTAAAACTAGTAACAAACATTAAATTCACTTAAACACAGAAGTAAAAGCTAAACAATATGAATTATAATTATAGTAAAAAAGTCTTTCCCCCTTGAAAAGCAACACATTGTAAATCCATAAAGTATTATGGATTCAATAAGATAACAAAGCTTACCAACAAAAATCAAGATGGGAGAGATCATAAGTAAACTATTTTTCATAAAAAGTAGTCAACAGATGCAGATTTTTAAATTTGTTAAATCAAAAATACTAATTTGAAAATATATATGCACCCCTATGTTTGCTGTAGCATTATTGATAATAGCCTAATTATGGAAGCAGCCCAAGTGTCCCAACAATAGATGAATAGATGACTGGTATATATATACATACAATGGAATATATTCAGCCATTTAAAAAAATGAAATCTTGCCATTTGCAATAACGTGGATGGAGCTAGAGAACATAATGCGAAGTAAAAAAAAAGTTGGAGAAAGACAAATACCGTATGATTTCACTCATACGTGGAATTTAAGAAACAGAACGAATAAAAAAACAGACTCTTAACTGTAGAAAACAAATCGATAGTTAACTGAGGGGAAGTGTGTAGGGGATGGATGAAATAGGTAAAGAGGATTAAGAGTATACTTATCACAATGAGCACTGACACAGGTATAGAATCGCTGAATCACTAAATTGTATACACTGTATGTTACCTATACTGGAATTAAAATTTAAAAAGAAAAACTAAAAAATAACAAAAATTATTTTAAAAGTAAGCATGTCAGGAGAAAGAGTGATGAGGAGATTATATGCATAATAATTTTAAAAAAAAAAATTAAAAAAAAAAAAAGGGGCGCCTGGGTGGCACAGTCGGTTAAGCGTCCGACTTCAGCCAGGTCACGATCTCGCGGTCCGTGAGTTCGAGCCCCGCATCAGGCTCTGGGCTGATGGCTCAGAGCCTGGAGCCTGTTTCCGATTCTGTGTCTCCCTCTCTCTCTGCTCCTCCCCCGTTCATGCTCTGTCTCTCTCTGTCCCAAAAATAAATAAACGTTGAAAAAAAAAAAATTTAAATAATTTATCTTGTTGACAAGATATAGTCAACAGATATTTAAAGTGATCAAATATTTATGGTTACATACAGGAAGCAAATGAAAACCAAACTAATATACTATTGGTAAAATACAGGACATGGTCTTCTGTACTACAAAGAAAAGGTGAGGGACGCCTGGGTGGTTCAGCTGGTTAAGGGTCCAACTCTTGATATCCTCTCAGGTCATGGTATCATGGTCGTGAGATCAAGCCCTGCATTGGGCTCCAAGCTGAGCATGCAGCCTGTTTGCGATTCTCTCTCTCCTTCTCTCTCTGCCCCTCCCATGCTCATGGGCACTGAATGAATGAATGAATAAATAAGAACTGAATGTGAGGTTTAGTAAAGAGAGTTTTATTCCTTGGCTATTGTTAGAGGTTAAAAATAAAAAAAATTTTTTTACATTTATTTATTTTTGAGAGACAGAGCAAGAGTAGGGGAGGGGCAGAGAGAAAGGGAGACACAGAATCCAAAGCAGGCTCCAGGCTCTGAGCTGTCAGCACAGAGCCCAACGTAGGGCTCAAACCCATGAACCTTGGGATTATGACCTGAGCCAAAGTCAGACGCTTAACTGACTGAGCCACCCAGGTGCCCCAGGTAGAGGTTAAAAATAAACTGGAACAAGATCAAATATTTCTAATCTGTCATCTCAGTGGAGATGAACAATAAATACTACTGTCTACTATAACTGTTATCTCAAGAGTATCCCTTACTTAAGCTTAAAAAAAGGGAGGGGAATAATTATTGATACTTTTCTTATTTACTCCAGAGTTAGCCTCTTACAATCATGAGGAACCTACAAGTAACCTACAAAGCGACCTATGAGGCACTTTTCAGAAACAGCAGCATCAAAAATACTATGGACACTAAGCGCATTACTTTAAAAATTGAATATGCAGAGCAGTTTTAACAATCTACCTACTGCAACAACACTTTCATTTACTAACCATAAAAATATAAACAGTGGAATAAGAAAGAAACTTTGACAGAATGTAAGTATAACTTAGTGGTAGGAATGGGGATGTATGGTAAGTGTAGGAAACTAAACTCAGAACACCTGCACCTTACCTTCTTCTGAAGAACATTAACCTTTCGCTCCTTCACATCCAGCATGTCCTTGAGGTCATGTATCTCTCCAGCTTGTGTCCCCTTCTCCTCGGCCATATCCTGAATTTGTTTTGTCTTCTTATTCAGCATGGTTTCCTTCTCTTCCAAACGCAATCGGAGAGCATCCACCTAAGAATGTGACATTTTTACAAATGATTAAATGAAAAGAAAGGAATGTAATTCCTTCCAAATAGATGTGTACAATTGCCCAAATGATACTTATATAGTAAGTGTTCATTAGAATCAATAAAATACCACTGTAAATACAATCATTGCTATTTAGAAACTAAACCATAAACCTTATGAGCAGTTTTGTAATAAAAATAAAATTTACATTAGTTAAATATACGATATAGCAGGATAAATAGATCTGAATCAAGGGACAAAATGGAGACTTGTTATAAAGAGACTGAGTTTTGCCACTTCTATAAAAGTAGTATAATCTACAACTATGCTTCTCAAACTTTAGGTGCATTACAATCATCTGGAGGGTTTAAACAGATTGCCAGGCCCAGCCACCAGAGCTTCTGCTTCAATGGGTTTAGGGCTCATGAATTAGTTGTGGGTTTTTTTTTTTTTTTTTTTTTTTTTTTTTAATGAATTAGTTTTTCCAACAAGTTCCCAAATGATTCCACACTGCTTTAGAAATCTAAAGTTAGAAAGAAAACCCTAAGTATCAATCACCAAGCATGACACTTACTGTATCACATAATACAAACTAATGGTAGAATATGATGCTTTTTAGACAGACAATCCCATAATGCACTGAGACATCTGTACAAAGGAAAGCAAAGGTCTATTTTCAGACCCCAAGCCTAGTCAGCTGAAGCCTAGCATCCAGTTACCTTTATCCCCCCCAAGTTTAACACTTCTCACTAAATATAATTTTCAAATAACTAGAAACCTAATAATAGTGCATATTTTTAAATCCACTCAAAGCAAATTTTATCAAGCATACTCACACATTAAATTTATTTTGGGTTTGTTTCTTTGTTTTGCTTTTCCACTAGATTTAAAGTTCAGCAAATAGTAACACATCTATTATAGCAAACGAGGGAGGTACATTTCTTTCATTTTAAGACAGTGTGTTGTTCAACAGAAATATGTTAAGTCCTATGCAAACCACAATGAAACTTAAGCTTTCTAGCAGCTACATTAAAAAATAAGAGATAGGGGCGCCTGGGTGGCGCAGTCGGTTAAGCGTCCGACTTCAGCCAGGTCACGATCTCGCAGTCCCGGAGTTCGAGCCCCGCGTCAGGCTCTGGGCTGATGGCTCGGAGCCTGGAGCCTGTTTCCGATTCTGTGTCTCCCTCTCTCTCTGCCCCTCCCCCGTTCATGCTCTGTCTCTCTCTGTCCCAAAAATAAATAAACGTTGAAAAAAAAAAATTTTTTTAAAATAAGAGATAAAATTAATTTTAATACTGTATCTTGTTTAATCTATCTACAATACTGTCATTTCAAACATGTAATCCATATTAAAAACTATTAATGAGCCATTTTACTTTATATTCTTTGTTTCATACCAAGTCTTAAAAGTCCAATGCATATTGTAATTTTTATTTACATCATATCTCAATTTGGACTACCATATTTCAAGTCTCAATGGCCACATGTGGACTGGTGGCTTCCACAGTGAAAGTGCAAATCTAAGACATCAAGTATATTTCTATAAAACATCTTTAACCTAGAACTTGTCCTATATTATTTTTCCTGGCTAATTAACCAGCCCACAAAGAAAAAACAGGTAGCATGAGTAATGACTCACATTTAAAGTACACCAAAACTCTCAAGGACAATCTAATATTATATCTAAACTATAAGGTATTTGAGACCCAATACTGTGTATGGTAATACTGCTAAGTATTATGGAAAATATCCTATGAGACTAGTCTCATTTGAGACTGCTATAGTTAAGTCATTACATACTTACAAATTATGTTGGTCTGTGCTGGAAAGGAAAAACATGTAAATAAACCAAATTTTACTCTGCTAAACTACACTTCTACCAACCACTTCAACGTCACTAGTCCCACCAAGCCAGAAATTGGGGAAGTAATCTTTTTAGGCTCCATTTATAATTGTTTACCACAAATTCTACCATGTCCCCTCAATAAATACCTGTCACTTCTAATTTTCCTGTATTCTATTTTAATAGGAAATATGGTAACCTTATTATATTCTGGAAAGGTCCACCTAAGAACTTTCAAACTCTTAAATTCTTATTTCTGAAACACAACTGTTTTCTTTCTTCTAGCCTACTAAATCGTCTCTTTGTGCACAGCATAACCTCTGATCTAAAATCTCTTTTCTATCATTCATCCCTATTCTGGTTTTACTTCTTTTTCTCCCAGCCTGAACAATCATTCAACACAGCCTCATAGCACCTCCTTTTTATTTTAGTCATATTCATTTTACACATCTTTTCTTCTCTATTAAATGGTTTTCTTCATTCTACTCTCAGACTTCTGAACCTTTCTGCATACGGTCATGTATGTGCTTGCCAACCATACCTACGGTAAATTAAAAATCCTCACAATTCTATCCTCAAGCATCATATCTTCTTCACTTGCATTCTCCCTGTGGAAAACTTCACTCTCCCCTGGCGACCTGGAAAACTGGGACTGAGAAAAAGTAGCTATAAATAAACAATGGCAGGAATTAAGATTAACTCGTCTGTCTCCAGATCCTCCAATCTTAACCACTAATTCTGTAATACACTACATCACTAACAACTAGAGAAAAAAGAGTATATATGATTTCATATATGTAAAATTCTAGAGAATGTATATTAATTATAGTAATAGAATAGAACACTAATAGATCAAGGTTGCCTGGGAAGAGGAAGAGGGGGGAGTAGTAAAGAATATCAGGGAAAAGCAAAAGAAAGGAATTACAAAGAGGTACACGAAAATCTGCAGGACATATTCATTATCTTGACTGTGGTACTGGTTTCACAGGTGTGTGTGTGTGTGTGTGTGTGTGTGTGTGTGTGTCAAAACTCACCAGACTGTACATTTTAAATATATGCAGTTTATGTCAACAAATTTTTTTTTAATTTTTTAATGTTTATTTATTTTTGCGAGAGAGAAAGAGACAAAGCATGAGCTGGAGAGGGGCAGAAAGAGAGGGAGACACAGAATCCAAAGCAGGCTCCAGGCTCCAGTGGTCAGAGCCCGATGCAGGGCCTGAACCCACGAACTGTGAGATCATGACCTGAGCCAAAGTCAGAGGCTTAACCGACTGAATCACCCAGGTGCCCCAATAAATTTTATTTTTTAAAAAGCAAAAGCAGAAAGTATGGTATTTATTAAGAAATAAACCAACAGACCTTTGCAAGAGAAACGGGAGCTGAGCTCACAGACCCACACATACAGGAACCCATACGTATAAAAAACAGAGGTGATACTATAATCAGCAAGAAAAGGACAGAGTATTCAATAAACTGTCTTCAAACAATTGGCTACCCATACTGATGAAGGGGGTCAGATCTCTAACTCATACACAAAAATAAATTCTAGGTAAATTAAAGATTTTATATTTGAGAAGCAAATCTTTAAAACTTTTAGAAGGAAAATATACAAAAATACTACTAAATTTAAATTTAAAACTTCTGCACATCATGATACTATTTTAAAGTGTTTTATTATTTAATCTGTATTTTATGTGCCTGAAATATTTCATTCTTAACAATAATACTAAGGAAAATACAGGAATATTGATAGTTGCTTTAAAAATGTAGATATTTTATAAGCTGGCAAAATTAAATAGGATCCAATACTGAATTTCAATTTTCAAAATTTATGACCATTTACAATCACTCCAAAAAAATTTAAATGCCTAGGTATAAGCCTAACAAAACTTATAAAGGATATGCTGAAAATTACAAATAAGAAATCAAAGAAGATCTAAATGTGTTCTTCCCTTGAATACTTTATGAAATGTAAACGACATGTGTTAAGATAGCCAGCCTATTTAAAATTTTTCTCAGAGATATGGAAAACGAAAAGATTAAAGTGATTTAAAAAAAAATGTGTTTACTGACAAACAGTAGAACTACAATAAATAAAACCCAGTGAATCCAAGAAATATAACAACTAAAAATATATAGTTTTGGTGCCTGAATTCAGCACTAAAGACCTCAGAGCAAGAATTAAAATTCAATGCAAAAAAGATTAATTACATGATTTCCCCAATAGTCCTTTCTAAAGTGCAAGATGACAAAAGTCTTTACATTTCCTTGGTTTTCCATCACCAACCTATTAAAATCAGAAACACTCTACCATGCAAAGAAACAAAAAAGTCCACAAGACAATGTCAGAACTGAATATTGATTCAATTTGAAGAAATGGACCACCACCACAGAGCAAAGACCTTTGTGGAATATGAAATTCACAACCAGGCTGCTTAAGATGCCAAAAGAGCCCATTGACCCTTATCCACTTGGCATTCAGGCACAGCTCAAGCTGGCCTGTGTGGCTACTAATCCTATTTGACAGTATCAGATTTGGTTCCTATTAGCTGAATCCATTACAGGGCATCAGTCACAGTGATTCAAGAGGGTGCTTATTGAAATCACTGACCCTTCTGCAGAGTTAAAGAGGTCAAAGTCTTAAAAAAGTACACGTCAGAAAATTTAAAAATAAATCATATACTAAGTCATTTGCACCTAATTTCTACATTCTCATTTGTATTTTGTATACTGCATATTCTACTTCTCTCTTTTTTAATGCTTATCTATTTATTTTGAGAGAGGGAGAAAGACAGCAAGCAGGAGAGGGGCAGAGAGAGATGGAAACAGAGAATTCCAAGCAGGCTCTGCACTGTCACTGTCGAGTCCAATGCAGGGCTCAAACTCATGAACCATGAGATCATGACCTGAGTGAAAGAAGTGGGACATTTAACCGACTGAGCCACCCATGTGCCCCTGAATATTCTACTTCAAACACATATACTATATATCCCAATAAACACAAGCAAAGACAAAGCAACCTCCTAAAAGACATTTCACTCAATATCCCTGAAATATATTACTGAATTCTTATTATAAAGGCAAAAAGTCCAGACATTTAAATTTGTAGATAAGTCTTAACTGCCTAATTTCTTTGTCTCTCAGTTCTTCTCAGCATTAA